CCTAACCTCATCCAAATAGCTGCCCTTTCTGATCTACCTGGGGACCAAGAAATTGCAGGGGATCTCAGTGTGAGCATGACCCTTGCTGCACTTTGGGCTCCCTGCCTGCTGATGCCAAATGCCTTTCTGCAGAGGCTGGGGAGAAGCTGCAGCCAGGCCAGGCTGGGAAACAGCCCTGCAGGCCATGAAAGCAACAGTGGGGCAGCGAGGCTGCCATGGATCCGCTTCCTGCTGTGCAAAGAAAGCCCCTGGCTGCTGAGTCTCAGGAGAAGGCTGAGGGACATGGACCCACCTTGTCCTCCCTGCAGCATTTCCTTCAGCATTTGCGGAGTGATTTTGGATGGCACATGGAGTTTCTGGTGTCCTGCAGCTTTGTTCTTTCCACTTGGAGGCCCTTAAGTGAAAATAGTTCCCCTTTGAAGGAATGGATCCCAGAAAACCAGTGCTCATCCTGTGGGGTCAGGAGGGACACACCACTCACCCCTGCGATGGGAGCCGGGCTCGCGTACAGTTACCAACCCAGGAGCTGGGAAAGTCCTGCCTGCAGACACACCTGTAACTCAACAGCCACAGAAGCTTCTGTCACCTCTGCTCATCTGCACAGGCAGCACTGAGCCACGGGAGAGGTGAGGGGATAGCACAGGACGGGGGCACACACGTGCACGGCTCTGTCCTGACACCTGCAGCGATGCTGCCCTGGCTGAGCTTTGGGCTCTGAGCTGGCAGCTCTCCCAGGGGGAAAGGCCTTCACCTACCCTCGCCATCTCCCAGAGCCTCAGTCCTGGACGTGGGTTGGGAAGCCAGATCACCTTCACCAAGAGGCTTGGCTGCAAGGAAAGGCAGGACAGAAGAGCTCCCGTGGATCTGTAGGAGATCCTCAGGCTCCCTGGGGCTGGCAAAGGAGCTGCACAAGGCACAGCCCTGGGCCCAGCCCCTTCCCTCTCTGCTCCTCTCCGTGGCTGCACAGAGCACATGGAAGGAGACACTGGCATTGCACATGGGAAGAAGATTGACAGCTAAATGCTCCTTCCTCCCACTGACAGCGATGCTGTGGGATCACTCAGGGCTCCAGAAGGGAGCAGGGCAAGGCTTCCAGAATCCTTCAGCCCTGAGATTATGTTAAGGGATATGGCACATGAGTGAGCTCTTGCCACCTTGACATTATTCCATCAGGAAAAGCACATTGAGAACTTGCCTCCAGCATTCTCCAAGTCTTGCCAGCTGTCATCTAGCCGGGCTTCCAGATAATCCATGTCCTGATCCCAGTCTAGAAGCCAGTACAGATCAGAACCACGTCCATGGTGCGCTGGGATCCACTTCTGCCTTGGGGTAGTGGGCACTGCAAGGGGTTTGGGTTAGATCGTGAGTACCAGATGTCGATGGACATGGCCAAAGCTGCAGAGGGGCCTGGGGAGCTCTGGGCTGGCTCTGGTCACTCTCCACCCTCTTTGCAGTCCCTGTGCAACATCCCTGGTGGGGGGTGACAGGGCCAGAGCAGGGGTCCTGGCTGCTGAGTCTCAGGAGAAGGCTGAGGGACATGGACCCACCTTGTCCTCCCTGCAGCATTTCCTTCAGCATTTGTTTCATGGGTTTTGATGGCACATGGAGTTTCTGGTGTCCTGCAGCTTTGTTCTTTCCACTTGGAGGACCTTAAGAGAAAACAGTTCCCCTTTGCAGGAATGGATCCCAGAAAACCAGTGCTCAGCCTGTGGGGTCAGGAGGGACACACCACTCACCCCTGCGATGGGAGCTGGGCTTGCGTACAGTTACCAACCCAGGAGCTGGGAAAGTCCTCGCTGCAGGCACACCTGTAACTCAACAGCCACAGAAGCTTCTGTCACCTCTGCTCATCTGCACAGGCAGCACTGAGCCACGGGAGAGGTGAGGGGATTGTGCAGGGTGAGGGCACACACGTGCACGGCTCTGTCCTGACACCTGAGCTTTGGGCTTTGGGCTCTAAGCTGGCAGCTCTCCCAGGGGGAAAGGCCTTCACCTACCCTCGCCATCTCCCAGAGCCTCAGTCCTGGACGTGGGTTGGGAAGCCAGATCACCTTCACCAAGAGGCTTGGCTGCAAGGAAAGGCAGGACAGAAGAGCTCCCGTGGCTCTGTAGGAGATCCTCAGGCTCCCTGGGGCTGGCAAAGGAGCTGCACAAGGCACAGCCCAGGGGCAACAGCCCCTTCCCTCTCTGCTCCTCTCCGTGGCTGCACAGAGCACATGGAAGGAGACACTGACATTGCACACAGGTAGAAGATTGACAGCTAAATGCTCCTTCCTCCCACTGACAGCGATGCTGGGGGATCACTCAGGGCTCCAGAAGGGAGCAGGGCAAGGCTTCCAGAATCCTTCAGCCCTGAGATTATGTTAAGGGATATGGCACATGAGTGAGCTCTTGCCACCTTGACATTATTCCATCAGGAAAAGCACATTGAGAACTTGCCTCCAGCATTCTCCAAGTCTTGCCAGCTGTCATCTAGCTGGGCTTCCAGATAATCCATGTCCTGATCCCAGTCTAGAAGCCAGTACAGATCAGAACCACGTCCATGGTGCGCTGGGATCCACTTCTGCCTTGGGGTAGTGGGCACTGCAAGGGGTTTGGGTTAGATCGTGAGTACCAGATGTCAGTGGACATGGCCAAAGCTGCAGAGGGGCCTGGGGAGCTCTGGGCTGGCTCTGGTCACTCTCCACCCTCTTTGCAGTCCCTGTGCAACATCCCTGGTGGGGGGTGACAGGGCCAGAGCAGGGGTCCTGGCTGCTGAGTCTCAGGAGAAGGCTGAGGGACATGGACCCACCTTGTCCTCCCTGCAGCATTTCCTTCAGCATTTGCCTCATGGGTTTTGATGGCACATGGAGTTTCTGGTGTCCTGCAGCTTTGTTCTTTCCACTTGGAGGACCTTAAGAGAAAACAGTTCCCCTTTGCAGGAATGGATCCCAGAAAACCAGTGCTCAGCCTGTGGGGTCAGGAGGGACACACCACTCACCCCTGCGATGGGAGCCGGGCTTGCGTACAGTTACCAACCCAGGAGCTGGGAAAGTCCTCCCTGCAGGCACACCTGTAACTCAACAGCCACAGAAGCTTCTGTCATCTCTGCTCATCTGCACAGGCAGCACTGAGCCACAGCAGAGGTGAGGGGAACGCGATGGGCGAGGGCACACACGTGTATGTCTCTGTTCTGACACCTGCAGTGGTGCCAGGACATTGAAACTGCTTATTCTGCCAGGAAAGGACCATTGAGAACTTACCTCCAGCATTTCTCAAGTGTTTCAAGCTGTCATCCAGCAGGGCCTCTGGATAATGCAAGTTGTGATTCCAATCTAGAAGGGAGCCCAGATCAGAACCCTGCCATGGTGTGCTGAGATCCCCTTCTACTTTTGACAACTGGGCACTGCAGGGGTGTCAGGTAAGACCCTGGGTGCCAAATGTTAGAGGACAATGGCCAAAGCTGCACAGGGGCCAGAGGACCTCTGGGTTGGTGTCTGGTCACTCTCCAAGCTCTTTGCAGTCCCTGTGCAACATCCCTGGAAGAGGTGGCTGGAGCAGCCCAAGGCCCATTGGGGCTCTCTCACAGCTACAGCTGAAAGTCTTGCTAAAGCAATGAGGAAAAACTGCAGCAGGCAGTTGCACAACTATCCCTCCCTCACTCCTGCCCTCTCTCCCTCCCTTCCTGCCTTCCTCTCTGTCTCCATCCCTCTTTTCCCTGGGACAGCTCTCCCAGCCCAAGGGGGCAGAGCCAGGCCCTCTCAGGACACACTGGAGCCTTGGCCTCCCCCTCTGCCCATTCCCCACCATGGGCACCCCTTTGCAGTCGCTGCCAGGTTTTGGGACGTGTCTCCCATGGATGGACCCCAGCAGGACTGCTCAGTAGCCGAGTGCCCTGAGCCTGCTGGGGATAATTCCTCTGGGCTGTGCCGGTCTTGGCCGGGCTGTGCCTGCACTGCCAAGCAGCAGAGATGGCAGCTCAAGCCTCAGCAGGGCTCAGGCCCAGAGGCACAGCAATTACCTCCTGTGACTGTGCCTGGCATGGCCTCCCTTCCTGCAGCAGAGGCTGCCCATGGGCCACTGCTTCCTCCGGGAAACGCCGCCTTCAGCACAGCCGCTCTGTCCACTTCTGCAGAAAGGGGCAGCTGGATCAGATGGAACCATTCCCCACTGGGGAAACTTCAGGAGGCAATGCTTGTCAAAGGCATGGTTAAGGATCAAGAATCCCTGAAAATTTTTTGGCATTGGCCAGGGCCTACACTATCAAAACAGCTGCCCTTTCTGATCTACCTGGGGACCGAGAAATTGCAGGGGATCTCAGTGTGAGCATGACCCCTGCTGCACTTTGGGCTCCCTGCCTGCTGATGCCAAATGCCTTCCTGCAGAGGCTGGGGAGAAGCTGCAGCCAGGCCAGGCTGGGAAACAGCCCTGCAGGCCATGAAAGCAACAGTGGGGCAGCGAGGCTGCCATGGATCCTCTTCCCACTGTGCAAAGAAAGCCCCTGGCTGCTGAGTCTCAGGAGAAGGCTGAGGGACATGGACCCACCTTGTCCTCCCTGCAGCATTTCCTTCAGCATTTGCCTCATGGGTTTTGATGGCACATGGAGTTTCTGGTGTCCTGCAGCTTTGTTCTTTCCACTTGGAGGACCTTAAGTGAAAATAGTTCCCCTTTGCAGGAATGGATCCCAGAAAACCAGTGCTCAGCCTGTGGGGTCAGGAGGGACACACCACTCACCCCTGCGATGGGAGCCGGGCTTGCGTACAGTTACCAACCCAGGAGCTGGGAAAGTCCTCCCTGCAGACACACCTGTAACTCAACAGCCACAGAAGCTTCTGTCACCTCTGCTCATCTGCACAGGCAGCACTGAGCCACGGGAGAGGTGAGGGGATGGACGCGATGGGCGAGGGCACACACGTGTATGTCTCTGTCCTGACACCTGCAGTGGTGCCAGGACATTGAAACTGCTTATTCTGCCAGGAAAGGACCATTGAGAACTTACCTCCAGCATTTCTCAAGTGTTTCAAGCCATCATCCAGCAGGGCCTCTGGATAATGCAAGTTGTGATTCCAATCTAGAAGGGAGCCCAGATCAGAACCCTGCCATGGTGTGCTGAGATCCCCTTCTACTTTTGACAACTGGGCACTGCAAGGGTGTCAGGTAAGACCCTGGGTGCCAAATGTTGGAGGACAATGGCCAAAGCTGCACAGGGGCCAGAGGACCTCTGGGTTGGTGTCTGGTCACTCTCCAAGCTCTTTGCAGTCCCTGTGCAACATCCCTGGAAGAGGTGGCTGGGGCAGCCCAAGGCCCATTGGGGCTCTCTCACAGCTACAGCTGAAAGTCTTGCTAAAGCAATGGGGAAAAACTGCAGCAGGCAGTTGCACAACTATCCCTCCCTCACTCCTGCCCTCTCTCCCTCCCTTCCTGCCTTCCTCTCTGTCTCCATCCCTCTTTTCCCTGGGACAGCTCCCCCAGCCCAAGGGGGCAGAGCCAGG